TCGCCATGGCGGGGAAGTGGGATGCAGCGATCGCGGGGAACAGCGCTCTCAAGGAGGCCCTGGTTCGCTCCTTCTCCGACGAGGTGATAGAGTGGATGCCAGTGAAGATCTACTCGGTGACAGCGCTGTGGGACCTGGCGGAGTTCTACGACACTCTCGAGCCCCTCCTCATCCTGGACGAGGGGCTCAGGCTGGGGCTTCCAGCCCGCACTCTGCACCTGGAGATGCTGAGCCACCTAAGTGCACGCCTCATCAGAGAGAGGACGGCTTACGCAGAGCCGATCGCGCCCGACAGGTCCATCTGCGCGGGCGCGAGGCGGGGCATCGACTTCGGCAGGGTTGCGCTTTACGCCGTGCTGGAGCGGGTGAGCACAAAGTACGAGCAGGTACGAGTGCGATCGTGGGTCGACGACGTCACGACGAGGATGGAGGGCTCCAAGAAGGAGGTGATCAAGCAGTTGACGGGCGCGGGCGTGGAGTTCGCAGCTGGAGTGAAGAAGTCGAAGCTGACGCTCTCCACCAAGTCGGCGCTGATCGGCAACGACATGGACGTGGTGAAGGAAGTGGCCCTCAAGCTGAGGGCGCGCATGATAACGGTGAAGGTAAGGAGTCAGGCGCCCGACTTGGGCATCGACCGAGGCCACAGCATCGCGGGCGGCAAGGGCAAGCACGCGAGGAGGGTGGCGCATGCAGACAGACAAGTAGCGCGCACCCTGAAGATGGCGCGCAGTGGCAGGCGCGCCAGAGGCGGCGCACGTGCAGTGGTGCAGCGCGGGTCCTTGCCGCGCGCCGCCTACTCGTGCAAGGTGTTCGGGATGGCACCCAGCACCGTGTTGAAGTGGAGGAGGAGGCTAGCAGCGACCATCGCCCCGAGGCTGCGGGGGAGGTGCCTCACGACGCTGCTCAGCATCGAGATTGCGAAGGGGGACCCCGCGTTCGGAGCCGTTTTCGCGCTGCTGGACTCGTGGATGCACATCATCAGCGACAAGTTGAGGAGGCAGAAGGTCAGCATCATCTGGCCGCGGATCGTCGAGAAGGTGTCGAAGCTGGACCCGAAGAAGCGCTGGAAGGGTGTGACGGGCATCACCAGGGCGATGGTCAACACCCTGCTGGACTTGGGCTGGTCCATGCTAGGGCCGTGGCACTGGGTCTCGGACGACGGCGAGGAGTTCGGCAGCGACGACCCCTCGGCGCTCGACGGCGGCGTGGACGCCAGCGACTTGAAGCAGGCGATCGCCAGTACTATCGAGAGGAAGCAGTGGCAGCAGGCGGCCAAGCACTACGCGGCAGGCGGCATGGAGGCGGGCGCGGACATGCGCTCAGCGAGGTCGCTCATCAAGAAGCTTAAGAGGAAGGGCGAGCACGACAAGGTCGGCGCGCATTTGGCGTGCTTGACGGGCGGAGTCTGGCCGAGGCAGCGCGTGGCAGATCTCGGGCTGGAGATCGAGGATGTCACGTGCCCGCGTTGTGGCGAAGCACCAGAAACCTGGCAGCACCGCATGTGGGAATGCAAGTGTAACGAGCTGATCGAGGAGTGCCAGAAGTCCAAGCACCTAGAGGAGAAGGCCGTGAGGGGCGTCGAGGAGGTGCCGTGCCTGTGGCTCAGAGGCATTTTGCCGAAGAGCTGGACGCAGATCCCACCCCCGCCTGAGCCAGGGACAGAGATGTGGGAGCAGTTCGGTAACCTGGAACGTCTCAGGGTCACTGCCCCCTCAGGCACGCACCGCCCACCCTCCCAGCCCGTTTGGCAATGGAGGGCAGGGAGTACCGACCTGGGGGAGGCCAACCCTGTGGACGACGGTGGCTGGCTCATTGCTGCAGGCGACGCATCGGGCGGCGAGTACACCATGGACCCCAGGCTGAGACGGGTGGCTTGGGGCTGGGTTGTGATGCAGCCAGAGAACGTGAACGAGCCGATGGTGGTGGCAGGAGCGCGTGCCGCTCTGGGCGGCTGGCGGCAGAGCGTCAACCGCGGCGAGCTGACGGCGCTGAAGGAGCTGATGGTGGCCACCGCCAACTACAAGAGAGTGCAGTACATTGCGGACTCGTCCTACGTCATGCGCGGGGTCGAGAAGTTACGCAGAGGGAAGATGCCCAAAACTCACATCGACTTATGGAACGAGCTGAAGGTGGCCATGGTCGGTAGAGAGCTGTGGATGATCAAGGTCGAGAGCCACATGTCCGCGGTCGAGGCAGTGGCGGCAGGCATCGACCCGATCAGCTACCTGGGCAACTCGTTAGCGGACAGCTTCGTGGACGGCATCATCGAGCGGGTGCAGGTGGCGCGCGGAGACGCACTCAGGGTCGGCTGGTGTGACGGGATCGCCTCGCTGATCAGGAGCAGGGGATACGCGACTCTGATGGCGGCGATCGAAGTGGAGCCGTCGATGGCGCCAAGCAGACCACAGCGCCACGAGGCGTACCTCAAGAAGCAGAGGAGGAAGGAGCGCCTCACCAACACGCAGCACGTGATCGAGGAAGTCAACGACGGCAAGCAGTTCCGCTGCACTCGGTGCGGGAGCCTGGTGCCTGTCGTTGGCGCGGACACAGACAGGTGGCTGGAGGGCAAGTGCGTGAAGCTGGTGCGCGAGCAGGCGTCGGAGTTCGGCGCCTCGTCCCTGGGTGTGCAGGTGGGCCACCAGAGGGCGCACCCCTCCCACCAGCTGAACTACAACGAGGAGCTCGGCCTGCACTACTGCCTCAAGTGCGGGTGCATCGCACGGGAGAACATGCGATCACTCGCGATGGAGTGCGGGGAGCTGAAGCAGATGGGCAAGCAGAACCTGTCGCAGATCAAGAAGGGGCTCCAGCCGGGCACGAGCAAGTTCGCGCGGGACTGGAACCGCAAGAAGAAGGAGGCGCTGGGTTGAGTTGCGCGCCGTTTGCGCGCCGCTCTCGCCCTCCGCACTGCCCCCAGACTGGGGGACCAGCGCCGCAGGCCAGGTCTTACAAAAGCAGCAGCAGCATCACCAGCACCATCAGCATCCTCAGCCAGCACCCTCGCCATCATCACCATCAGCATCATCGTCATCATCATCAGCATCATCATCATCGTCATCATCATCGTCATCGTCGTCGCGTCATCATCACCAGCATCAGCAGCAGCAGCATCAGCATCACCATCGTTATCATCATCATCATCATCATCATCATCATCATCATCATCAGCGTCATCATCAGCAGCATCAGTATCATCATCACCATCGTCATCATCAGCATCAGCATCAGTATCATCATCATCATCATCAACCTCAACATCGGCAACATCACCACCATCAACACCATCACCACAACCACCCATCAGCATCAGCATCAGCATCGTCATCATCATCAGCAGCATCAGCATCAGCATCAGCATCAGCATCATCATCAGCATATGCATCATCATCAACACCATCATCATCAGCAGCAGCACCATCATCATCAACATCAGCAGCAGCAGCATCAGCATCATCATCATCATCATCAGCACCATCATCATCAGCAGCAGCATCATCATCATCCTCCTCATACTCATCAGCATCAGCATCATCATCAGCACCGTCATCATCGTCAGCATCATCATCATAATAAGCATCATCATCATCATCATCATCAGCATCAGCAGCAGCAGCACCAGAAGCATCATCATCGTCATCATCATCAGCAGCACCATCCTCATCATCATCTGCATCATCAGCATCGTCATCATCATCCTCATCCTCATCAGCATCAGCATCATCATCAGCATCAGCATCAGCATCAGCATCATCATCAGCATCCTCAGCATCACCATTACCATCATCATCATCAGCAGCAGCACCACCATCATCATCATCAGCAGCAGCAGCACCACCATCATCATCATCATCATCAGCAGAAACAGCACCATCATCATCATCATCATCAGCAGCAGCAGCAGCACCACCACCATCATCGCCATCATCATCATCATCATCAGCATCATCAGCATCATCATCGTCATCATCCATCCGCCTCCTGCTTGTGCCTGCGCTCATCCGCCACCTCCTCCACCTGCCCCTCCAATATCCAAAGACCCCTTTTTATCTACCTCGTTAAACAGGGCCTCTGGGACACCCAAGTCGGCGGATAGAGCATGCTTCACCGCAATGGGCAGGAATGGGTGAGAAGTGTAGCACGTCAGATATGGCGGGAGCGCCCCTGGCTTGACACATCCCACTCCCCCACGCCCTCACCTCACCCGTATCCCTCTCCCTCCTCACCACTCCAGACTTCCCACTCCACCTGCATTGCAATGTAATAGGGTCAGGTTCGGTACCTTTGTTTTCTACACGACCTCGTCATGACGCACACCGATACTCTCACGGGACCGACTCGAGGATAGCGTGAACATATCGACGCCATCTGCAAGCTCCTCCAGAGGCGACTCTGCTAATTAAGGGGTTCAACGCTAGTGCGTTCAAAATGAGCTCGCCCAACCCTCAACGACGGCGGGACCGAAAATTGGCATCAAGGCAAGGGGTCCTGATGGAAACGGTTCCTGGACCCTAGGGCTTTCCCCAAGACCATCTCTTCGTCCCGAGTTGCTCTTTGGTGGTCCCGAGGCCCAGGCAGGGCCCTGGGGGCCCGAAATCGGAAGCAAAACTCTGGGACCCCTTCCCTCCAGGACTGTGTTGCTTCATGCCGAGTCAAGATTCGGCCCCCGGTCCCCCCAGACCTCTCTCGCGGCGCGCTTCCACCAGAATGCCGAAGGGGGGATCCAGCTGTGGCGACGACAGGCCTCCGGGAGGCCCCCAGGGAGAAGAAAAGCGTCCTCGAACCTCGGTCCTCGAACCTCGGACCTCCAGGACCCTTTCTCGCATGCTGCTGGAAGTACCCCTGGCCCAAGGCACCCCCCCAGACACGGCCTCCTGGGGCACCCCTCACGAGGCGCAGAGGGCCTCCTGGGCTGAAGGATGGAACGAGAAGCTGGGAGCACCACCTCGGGCCAGGGGCGCGTCTGGCAACACCCGATCCATGCTGAGAAGTCGGGCGGGCGCCTCGCCAAAGGCCACGGCGCCGGAGCTGCTCGACTTGCTCACGGCCGCCCCGCGCGACACCGTCAGCTGCAGGACGCCCCGCCGTGGAGTCCCCGCGGCGCCAGGTGCTGGCGCACTGCTGACGAGGTCCTGCAGTCGAAGCTCCTCCTCGCTCGTCCTCGTAACTCAGCCTCCGTCTGCCGTCGGCTCCTGCTCGCCCTCCTCATCGTCGTGGTAACCGTGCTCGTCGTCCCCCTCCGCGCTCATCATCACCTTGAAGACCGTCCCTTCCAAGCGCCCCGCAGGACGAAAGTGGCACTCCCGACGCATTTATCAGCAACGCTACCATCATCGATATCATTGTCCTGCTCATCATAACAGTAGTATCCATGAACGTCACAAATTGCACTTTCATATTCATAATGTTAGTCATATCCAGTCTATTCATCATAGTTGCCATATCCATCCGCATCGTTATTAGCATTGACGTCGTCGTTGCTAAACTTAATCATCCTCATCTTCACCATCCTTTGCCATCCCCACCACCATCATCACCACTGTCATCATCTTCGCACCCTTTTATCACCATCAGTCCCGCATTATCTCTCATTCCTACTCATCGTCACCAACACCATCACAATCTCTCATCGACAACCCATAACCTCTCATCCCTCGTCCTCCTGTCCTTACCGGCCGATTGTACCCCCATCTGGGACGGCCCATCATCCCTCATCTTTGACGTTCGGTTTTAGACACTGCTAGATGCGCGGCAGGAACGGGACACAGCGCACATCGCGCGCCGGACCTGCTGGCGCCGACGGAGCAAAATGCGCGACAGGAGTGGCACGCGGCGCACATCGCGCACTGGACTGCGCGTCGTCGACGACGCAAGATGCGTGGCAGGAGCGGGGCGCGGCGCACATCGCGCGCTGGACGACGTGCCATCGCCGATGCAAAATGCGCGGCGGAACAAGACGTGGCGCACATGAAGCGCCAGACCTCGCGTCGTCGACGATGCAAAGTACGCGGCAGGAGTGGGAAGCGGCGCACATCGAGCGTCAGGATTCGTGTCGCCGACGACGTAACATGCGTGGCAGGAATTGGACGCGGCGCTCATCGCACGCTGGATGTTTCTGTCGCCGACGATGAAAAATGCGTGGCAGAGATTGGACGCGGCGCTCATCGAATGCAAAAGCGTGAAACACTGCTCTCGCAAAACTATCAAAAATACCAACGGCTTCTGTCGCCAGGGGGTTGTGCCGTGAGGGCTGCGTTCCTGCATTCCCGCTTTAGGCTGGGTCAGGTACCAATCCCAATGAGGGAGGGAGGGTGGGAATGGACATGGCATGCTCATGCGCTCGGGCTGGCTAGCTTGACTCCTCCTCCACCTCCTTCTCCTCTGGGGCAACAGACGGACGGACGGACGGACAGCCAGGCGGCGCGCAATACCTGGCACGCCAAGTGGGTGGTCAGTGCACCAGGGACACTAGTCCCGAGCAGTGGCCGTGGTCGTGGTGCGTGTTGTTCTGCTCGGGATTTGTTCCCCCCCCTCACCTCCTCTCTTGGCCACTCTCTGAGGGCTTGGCCACCCTCTGGTCAGCTGATAACCCTCCTGAACGGGCCCAAGGAGCCCAGCCCAGAAATGCCAAACCTGCAAGACGTCGACATATGGCGACTCCACAAGACCTCGACCTGTGGCGATTCAACAAGACTATAGCATATATTGTCCACTGATTGCGGCGTCTAGGATCTGTGCCCCGTCCGCGGAGCCATCAAAAACGGCGGGCACAGGACAAACGGCAAGATCGCGCCGTCAGAGATATGGGCATAATCTACCGTCACTATCGTATTCTTCGCCCGTGGGGGCTCTGGTCGATCCCGGCTGCTTTTGTCGCCTTGGGTGGGGGGCGCTTAATAACCGAAGCGCCCGAGTACGTAGGGTCAGCGCTGACGCCATCGCCGCATCTAGAGGCCTCCTAGATGGGGTCCGAATAGATGGAGTCGGAGGATCGCGCCGTATCGCCGATGCATCGCCGATGCATCGCCGATGCATCTGCGGCGCATCGGCGACTTCGGCGGTGCATCGGCGACGCCAGCGCGGAACAAATCGGGCTCCACGTCGAGCCGCATCGCCGATGCATCGGCGATGCGGCGCGATCCTCCGACACCATCTACTCGGACCCCACTCCACAGGGCGGCACGTTGGTCAGAGTTCCCGCGGGCCGAAGACGGTTCCTGGAACCAGAGGGTTTTGTTTGCAGGGGAAGTTGGGAGCAAACAACAAGTCCTCCACAGCAAGCGCCAAAACACGGATGCCGCCACACCACGAAGGCTAGGCTGAAAGAGCTCGTGAGGAGGCCGGGGCACGGCACAAGCGACAAAGCGATGATAATGGAAAGCCTTTTCCTTTCTGGAGGACGACGACGACGAGGACGAGGAGCCCAAGGTGAGTTAAGAACTGTGTACGCACATGACGCCGCCGGTTCCCAGGGGAACCGCATGCGGCGCCGCCGCGGACGGCGCGGCTCGGGCGAGCGTCTGGGCCTGGCCGATCCGACTGCGCGCCCCAGACTCGTCAGGGGGGTGGGCGAGGAGGGGGAGCAGGAGGAACCAGGAGAGGGAGGGGGTGGGGGAGGCGGAGGAAGAGGAGCAGGAGGAGGAGGAGCAGGAGGACCAGGAGGAGGAGGGGGAGGTGGAGGTGGAGGAAGAGGAGCAGGAGGAGCGTCACCAGGGGTGGCGCTGTGAACAAACCGAGACCCCTCGAGGAGTAACAAGAAAGCATGACGGGGGGTCGCGGCCATTTGCGGCCTCGGGGAGCCCTCGCCAGGCCGCGGGTCCGTCACAAAACGGCTCAGGCTGAAAAACGGCTCCCAGGGAAGGGTCGAGACCTCTGGGGGTCCACGTCCATGACGCCAAAGGTCTGGGAATCACGATGTCGGATCTGGGAGATACCGATGCCGCTACCCGACCCTTGTCGCTACGGCTGGAGTCACCTCGAGATCCTGGTCAGAGCGCGCCCCATGAGAGGTCCGGGGAGTGGCGGGTCTCCAACGACCGCGCCGCCCCACCCCCTCCAGGCCCCAGGGAGGAGCGGCAGCGGCAGGGGAGGGGGGAGGGGGCAGACGCCCACACCAGGTCGCCAACGAAACACCTACAAGGCCTGGTTCAATGAGGATGGGAGCTCATGATCTGGGCGGGGCACGCCGCCTGAGCTGAACGGAAATGGCTGAGAAGGGACAGAAGAGGGGAGAATGTAGAGAGGAGAGAAGAGGAGAGACGAGGAGGAGCAGCAGCAGCAGGAAGAGAAAGAGGAAGAGGAGAGAGGGACGAGGGAGAGGGACAAGGAAGAGGACGAGGACGAGGAGGTGGAGAGAAGGAGGTAGAGGACAGAGGAAAAAGACGAGGGGCTCCTCATTCCCGAGGAAACTGGGTGGAGGGGTCAGGCACCGACGCTTCCGCCAGCGTCTTGCGCGGGGGGGGGGCTCCTGCCGGACCTCCCCCAGGAAACTCCCGAAGTCCACCTGCGCCATGGCGCCTGGCGCCCTATCGCGCGGCGCGGCGCGGCAAGTGGCGGTGTCTGATCCCGTCTAGCGCGGGGACGGAGCCAGCAGGGGCGCGGGGGAGGAGAGAGAAGAGGGATGCTCGGGAGGAGGACGAGGAGGAGTAGGAGAGGAGGAAGAGGAGGAAGCGGAGGAGGCAGAGGACGAGAAAATGGGACCAAAGTAAACCCGAGATGCATCAGCGCTGCTGCAAGACCCCCTCCCGTCCCGAGTCCCATCCTCATACGTCCCCCTCCCCATACGTCCCCACAACCTTTCCATCTCACTACTCCACTTGGGTCTGCCAGTTTGGCGAGGACCCCGCTTTGAAAAGGAATTGCCTTGCATCTTTCTGGCGCAAACTCATGAATGCATTAAAACATGACCATACAACTCACCGAGGTGTTCATCGAAATTCACCCTTTCAAAAAAGGACCGCCACCCCGTCCGTGCAACACTTGCACAACTTTTCACGTGCGCTCATGACAGTCGGGGAAACCTCACGCAAAAGCCACAATTTGAAAAGGAGCCGCCCTGGATCCGTGCAATGCGATACGTGGAGCTATAGGAACTAACAAACGAGAACACCTCTTGGAGTAAGAGCCGCCCTCCATTCCCCTAACTATCGCAAGCTTCCACATACAATGTGCAACCAATGTGCGCGGCCGCTCAACCGAGAGCCTCATTTGGGCAAAATCGCCTTGCATCCTCGCTCACTGCTGCAACTATTTGAAACGAGTCCTCGCGGCGCAAAGGCGAAGCCAAGTTTGAGAAGGACGTGTACTCAATCCTTGAGCATGTAGTAACTATTCAGATAAAAGTACTCGGCGTTGAGGCGGAGCCCCATTTGAAGGCGATCCACCCTCCATCACTGAAGCTGCGGCAAAATTCTGAAACGAGTGCAAGCGTCGCTAACCCAGAACCCCCCTCTGCGAACGACACATCCTCCTTCCATGAAGCTGTGGCAATATCTTAAGGCGAATATGCGCGGCGCTACGGCGATAGCCGCATGTTGAGAAGGAACCGCCCTCAATCCTTGAAGCTGAAGGGCGACAGCCCAATTGTGAAAACGGTCCGCCCTCCATCCTTGAAGCTGTTGCAAGCTTCAAGCTTCAAAAACATAAATGCCGAAGAAATATCAGGCGACACGCCCGGCCAGTCCTAACCGACACGCCTGAAGGTGCGACAGGGCGGAATTATCTGCAAGGGACAAGGACGGGGGAGAGGGAGACGAGGGAGGAGGAGCAGCAGGATGACATGCGTATCGGAGTGGCTGTAGCGATTCCGTCTGACCCTCAGGAGCCTTGCCATCGCTCGGACGTCCAGTCTCTCCTTGCATTGTTCGCTGTCGTGCATCTAGATTGTTTTTCGCAAGATGATCCAAAATGCTCCTCGATGGGACTCGCCGAGAAAAATGCTCACGTCCGAACGATGCCAAGGAACGCTTTCACGCCCCAGCGTGGAGTGGCAACCGCTCGGCTGGGCCTGCGGCTTCCGCCCTGGGGGCGCCAGGCGTCGCCGCAGCGCGGGCCGCCATCCCGCCCGAGGTTGAAGTCGGAGGCGGGGTGGGCAGGGGGGGGAGCGGGGGAGCAACGGGAAGCGGATCGGGGAGGAGGAAAGGCGAGGGCGGCGAGGAGAGGGGGGTGGAGGGCGACCCCCACCCCGGGACCCCCGCTGGCCGCAGGGCGAACGGGGGATGGAGAGGAGGAGGAGGAGGAGGAGGAGGAGGAGGAAGGAGGAGGAAAAAGAGGATTGCCATGTAGTTTTACTGCCCTTGAGGGTAGGCATAACCCTGTGAAGGTGCTCGAGAAGGTTGGGATGACAAACCTTCTGGTCCCAGAGCCTGTGCAGGGACTGTTGTTGGCACCTGGTGTTGGTGGATGGTATGCGTGGTCAGCATACCCCGAGACAGCCACCCCTGTTCGACACAGTAGGTTTGGCGGGGGCTGCTTCACGATAGCCCCTATCGCCTCCGACCGTACGACTGAGAAGCTATGACGGATAAGAGGAGGGCTGGCATCCCCCAGACTAGTGTCAGACGCTTGCTCCCTAACCTTGTAGGGGGGCCCAGGGCAGCTCACCAGTGGCCACAAAGCAGGACGGCTTGATACCCGAGTTGGGACATGTGCGCCTGCTACACAGCAAGGAGGATCACCATCCTGGCGGTGACGGAGCGAGGCCCGCTCCGCATCAGGGCAGCATGGAGACCTGCTCTGCAGCAGGACAGGACGCCAACTTACGGATGACAAAGGGGGGTTTACGCCATCGCAAGTCCCATCGTCACCTCAGGGGTGACACGGGTAGGCAGCTCTCAGGCAGTCCGGGTCGCCCCCCACAAGGGTGGACGGGGCGGACCCCCTCCACTGCTGCCGATGTCCCTGCTGTGGGGTGAAAAGAGAAACCTCTTCCACAGGATGGCCGACCGCCACCCTGGCGGCTGACGGGGGAAACCAGTCCACAGCTGGGCACCCTTCCACCTGAGGGGTGACAAGGGGGTACTGCCCCAACGCGAGTTCTTCGCCACTCTAGGCGTGACAGTAGGTTGGCTCCCCAATAGGACTGATCGCCGGCCTACGGGTGACCGAGGTACCTGCTTCTCAGCAGTGCGGAGCATCGCCACTCTAGGGGTGACGGTCAGGCGGCTCCCCAGCGGGACTGATCCCCGGCCTGCGGGTGACCGAGGAAAGCCTCCTCCACAGCAGGCCGGAGCGCCACCCCTGGGGCAACAGGCTGGCGCATGCTCGTCCGTAGAGCGATGACCGTCATTTGACAGCTGGTCAAAACACACGTCGGTCCAACTAGTTGCGCCCAGAGCGTTTGGGCCCCCCGCGGTCGCAAGCATACGCCAGCGCACAGTGTTATCTAACTGTCCCCCCAGCCGCGGATGCACCGCCCAGCAAGCGGCTGCGCCCCAGCGCTTTGGTTCTAGTTTATGTTGCGCACAGGACGCACTGGCAATCGAAAAGGTCGCCGCCTCTATTCGGTCGCCGCCGTTCTGGCCAGATTGACGTCGCCGCGGCCTCCAGACGACCTCTTTCCTCCAGGGGATGCGGGTGATGGGCGGAGGCGCACCTGTGCGGGGTAATAAAGGATGGGGATGGGACGGAAGGCGGATTCGGCAAGCTGAGCCATGACATCTTGCTTGCTACAACTGCAATGCCAGCCTTCGCCGGCACAGGGTTGCAACCCTCAGTCCTCCAGGATATCCCCCCCACGCCCTCTAGGGGCTGGACCTAGGGAGGGGGTTCAGGCCTCGGTGGGACCACTAAGAGCGGGCCGCAAGGATATCCCGACCCGTCTGGGGCGGATGCATTTGAGGAGGTTTCTTCCTCACCTCCTGCCTCCACGCACGCCGCACTGCCAAAGAAGGTGCCTCCTCGAGCTCGCGACCGCCCTCCAGAAGCGAACGGTCGTGGCCGCCCCGAATTACGGCCACGCACGCCCGGCCTGGACGGCAGGCCTCGACGCCCAGTCACACGGCCGCATGCCCTGGGCCACAGGCAACGGATGGGGGGAAGGACGGGGGAAGGGGTACGAGTGCGGCGACAGGGGGCGCACGCGGGCTGCGGATCCCCATCCCCCTGACACGCCGAGTCCACGACACAGAACCTGCCCTGGAGACAGCTTGCGAAGTCCTGCCCTCGAGACGGGAAATGAGCGCGGGATTCTGGCTCGAATCGAGCACCCCAGTTCTTACAAATGGCCCGGCGCACCCAAGGATGGGCCTGGGAATACGGCTCGAATCCGGCCCCCCTCCATAGGGATGGGCCGGTGAACCCAAAAGCGCGGCCTTGTTGACCCCCACCGCCTCGTCAAGACCGCGCCCGACGGGCGAGCAGTGGGACCCCCGCCTCAAGCCGTGGGCAGCAAAGCGAGGGCAAACAGAAAGCATGAAGACTGCGACGATCGCGACAAGGTCTATCTCGGCATCCCTCGCTGCAACGGTCTGGCGGCGTCGCTGCAGCAGCCAACCAAATCAGAACTAGGCCCACAATTGTGGTGATCCACGACCGCCACCTACTGGCTGCACAACGGATGGTCAAGAGGAGGGAGGTGAGCCACGGTTGAAGCAGTGCCGATGGCGTAAGTTCGTCCAATCACTGGGCTGGGCCTCTCTTGAAGTTGGGGCGTTGGCGGGCGAACCATTGCCAAGAATTCCTGGCGCCAGGCGATGCGGACTCCAAGTTGCAATCTTGCTCAAGGCCCCCGAGGTCCCCAGATTGCGAGTAGGCCCCGCACGCACTGCAGATAAAGAAAAATCTGCCCCGAGCGGGTAGTCGAAAATATGCAGGACGCGCTCCCGAGGGTTCTGGGCCAGTGGGGCGAAGGCCTCGCCGCGGCCTTTGCGCGGGCTGACGGTCGGCGACGGCTCCTTGGATCACGTGCGAAAGTCAAACCATCGCAGCATGCCCACCCGCTGCGTTTCCACCTCCAAGTGCGCCCACGGATTGGGCCACGCGGCCGGGGATCTGGCGCAGGCGCGGGGGCAGGGCGGGGAGGGAGGAGCAAGGGCGGATGAGAGTCTGGGAGCGCTAGACGCGCGGCGCCAACTCCCGTGAGAAAATCCCCCCCATAAGCGATTTGTCGAAAATTGAAAATCGAGCGCATGGCTTTAGAGGGGGACAGAGTGGGGAAAAGGACCAGCGCCTGCACGGCGTACAACAGGCACCTCCGAAGTGTCGTTGGTTCTTCGGTCCAGCTTGCTTTCTCGACCTCGGGTGGCCGAGTTAGTGACAGAGCGCCCGTTTTCGACTATCTGCCCACCAGATCGTTGCCGGCAGCTCTGCGCCAGTCAGGCGAGAGCTGGGGAAGCGATGCTGGATCGACGTGCACTGGGACTGTCACAGTGCGAAAACCTGCATCCTAGCTGGGGGGGGCGCGAATTTGAATATTCAGGCCAGCGTAGCGATGCTTTCGCTCGGCCACTCTGTATGCGCCGCAGACATCGCAGCAAGGCCTGACAAATCCGAGCAAGCGACATCTGAGGAATGCTTCATGACGGCCAGAACTGCGACGTGCTCGGCTGCGGGCGAGGTCCGGAGATACCCCA